AAACGTTTTTGAAAATTCGTTTTTTTTAATAATTGCTCCAGAATGGTTCGTTATCGTTTTATAATTGAAAAATTAACGAATTATTAACGAATTACGAATTAACGAAACGAAACCGCCCAGCCCTATGATATACCACTTGCTTTTATTGAATGTAGTTGATTCTGATATTTTTTTTTACATTGTGTCATGCACACTGAATGAGAAAAACACTTTGTACTACTCCTCAATGTCTCTGCTGCGGCTCTTGTCATTGCTACTTCCACTAACTGTGGGTACTCTCTGTGTATTGTTTCTTTGCAGAAACTCAACGTATTGCATGAAGGTGTCAATGTCCTTGACCGTTGCGGAGAATGAATCGGGGCTTTGCTACAACAGCACAATTCGCTACTTAGAGAAATCAGAGATCACTAGGACAAAGATCATCTCCTGCCCAGACATAGAGGATTATAAAACAGGGAACCAAGAACCAGAAGTCATATGGTACAAGGTAAGAAAGTGACACCCGTTGTCTTGAATGAATATATAACACTGAATGTATTATGCTAACTGTTGTGCGTGGGAAGAGGATAAGCTAGAGTCAAATGCACAAAAAAAAATTATATTATTGCATCTGTTAAGTAGGAAATTTTGGTAGGTTAATTTAACTAATTTACAACACCATAAAAATCTCCAGCAAGCATGCAAAGAATGAGGAAGTACTCCATCAGTGTCACAAATGGACAGTGAAGCAACTGCTCCCCTGGTGGCCAGAATATCCTCATGAAGCTGGAAAAACTTAACTAATTTACAATGCCATAAAAATCTCCAGCAAGCATGCAAAGAATGAGGAAGTACTTCATCATTGTCACAAATGGACGGTGAAGCAACTGCTCCCCTGGTGTCCAGAATATCCTCATGAAGCTAGAAAAACTTAACTAATTTACAATGCCATAAAAATCTCCAGCAAGCATGCAAAGAATGAGGAAGTACTCCATCAGAGTCACAAATGGACGGTGAAGCAACTGCTCCCCTGGTGTCCAGAATATCCTCATGAAGCTAGAAAAACTTAACTAATTTATAATGCCATAAAAATCTCCAGCAAGCCTGAAAAGAATGAGGAAGTACTTCATCATGGTCACAAATGATCAGTGAAGGGACAGCTCCCCTGGTGGCCAGAATACCCTGAGGAAAAGCTGGAATGTTAAATAGCCTCTGACTTTCTGTCTATATATGTTGTGTGTCTATGGCATTGAGTGTTTGCCATGTATATATACATTGTAATCCGCCCTGAGTCCCTTGCGCGGTTTGAAGGGCAGAATATAAATACTGTCAATAAATAAATAGAATAGAATAGAAAGCGTTATTGTCATTGTACATTGACTAAGATCCATCCCCAGGCAGAAAGCTGTTTTGCTCTTGTTTATTACACATAAAGGCAATAGAATTGTTTGAGTTTAGAGAAAAAAAGAAGAAAAGAAGCGGTCAGATGCCGAGCAAGGCATTTCCCATCCAAGAAATTAGTTTAATAGGCATAATAGTGACATGTCAGGCAGTGAATTCCTATCATCCGTGCGGCGATTTGTTGGAGTACAGCTGCCAATGCAAAAATGACGCGATTTGAGTTCCATCTCATCAGCCTCGCTGTGTTCGGCTTGTGCACAAATAATTTATTTGGAACTGGGATGACACACAGGGAGCCGCGATATGTCAGAAGAGAGCCGGGAAGTCAACGATGCTCTGTCAGTCTGCTTGCTTTTTCTCTCCCAAGAAGTCTGCGCTTCTTCAATGAAGACTGATGAAACATGTGCTGTGGCATGGGGTTAACAGAAATGAGATGTGGTTCCTCCGCCACCCGCCCTTCCTTTTCCGGATGTTGTTTCTTGTCAGCTATTAAGGCAGCTTGGCCCCCAAACGTCCAGAGATATTTTTACGAGCCAGTCCAGAGAAGGAAGGAAACTCCCGGATGGAGCAATCAAAGGGGAGCTGGAGAGAGTCGGATCTATCTCCGTGATGCTCAATGCCCAGGGGCAGCGCGCAAATGCATGTTTGGAATATCAGAGCAAATAGAGACGTGTCGGGTTGGACAACATTTTCGAAATCTTCAGCTACCTTCATTATAGCAGCCCAGGGGCTCCCCCCCCCTTTATTATTTGAGTCATTTCTTCTTATATTATAATCCCTGGCCATGGCACCGAGACGGCTTTGGTCGCCTTGGTGGATGATCTCCGTAGGGAGCTGGACAGGGGGAGT